GTGTGAGGTCTCGCAGCAAGCTATCAAATACGGTGCATTTTTCGGCTTTCAAAAAAACACTATGCGTTGCCAGGAGTTTCATCAGATTCGAGGTGTTTCAGTACAGCCAGACTTTTTACCTCTTCGCCTTGGGCATTTTTAATCTGTAGCTCTGCTCTAAAAGAACATACGTACCTGGGCCCGCCTACTATCCTTGGAAAGGTAAAATGATTGGCTAAAATCCAAAGCGTATGACATCTCAGGGGGGAAAAGCACCAAAATGTGCACTGCTTTTCGGTCTGGTCACTACCGTTTATGTCAGAACCGGTACCCATCCCTAGTTATCATTTTGCTCAATGTAAATGATTTGGGCTTAGCAGTCTCTTTTTAGGGTTACTAGGGTTTAGTAACTATGGGGTCTTTTCAAATACACATTTTTCTAATAATAAATAATAATAGATTTATCCTGGATAGCTTTTTAAGGGTTTCTAGGACCCAACAATTAGATCACCCCTCTAATATTTTTTTTTTAGGGGTCCCTTTATACTCCTAGAAAAGCTTAGACACTTTGGGAAATGGACGTGGAGCATCTGAGGGTGTGTAGCTGTGTGTTATCATCAGAACTCTGGCAGCACATCCTCTGTGTTGGGTCTGTATGAATCAAGTTTGTTCCATCAATGCTCAGTCAGATTGAGATATGAAGCTTTTTTTTTTATTTTTATTTTTAATTTTTATTTTAGTCCACATTGATGCCTTGGGTTTTATTATTTGTAGTTTTTGGAGTGTGGAGTGTGGTGGAGTGTTTGTTTTGCTGGCCTACACACGTGTTCATCAGGGAGAGCTGTTGGCAAGTGAGGTTGTCTGGTCCCACTGAATAACAAATTGAAATTTTGCTTCAAATGCTTATCTCTACAAGATATGACAAAAATGGGTGTCTCCTGTCCTACTTCTGCTGTCATTGTCCATGCAAACTACAGGCAGTATCTTCAAAGAAAATCACAAGGAAGGTTTTGATGCAGCAACCTTTTTGCAATCAATTTAACTTGGTTGCAGACAGCAAACACTTGCGACCAATCGGGGAACACACATTTTTCCTGAGCCACCAGTGGTTGTAACGGGTCACCAACTGGTCTTGAGACCTTATGCTTGTCATTCTCACCATTGTGAGTGGTTTCAAATGAAAAAAGCGACGTCACATCCGCTGGTGTAAGCCGTCCTTTAGTGTTGTTTCAGCTGGTTGCACATTTAAGTTAAATTATAGCAGGTGCAGTTATTTTCAAAATGGACATGTTTCAGGCATGGCTGTGTGAGCATGTCCACCTCTGCAAGCATACATGACACAACAAACATGGGAGGACAGAAATCGTGGAGAGAGATTACTGCAGCAGTGCCGAGTAATTTCACGAGTACAAATGGATGTGGCTGTGTGATGACGTCACCTGATCAGCGCACAAAGCCATTGTGGCGAGCATAAATGGATCATTAAGCCGATGTCATTTGAGAGCATGTTTTGGCTGGTGAGCGATCTTTGAAGAATAGCTGAATAGCTCCTTGTGAAAGAGTACTTCTTAAAAAATATTTTTATTTTTTATTATCATCAGGGACTCACTGAGCTTTTTAGGAGGGGCACAGATGCACTTATATAATGGAAATGGGAGTGCTTGATTTGGAGCAGGAAAAGGAGAGCTTTGTAGAGAAAAGTAATACAGAGAGAGTAATAATTATGTCCTGATTATTTGGCTGTCATAATTTAGAAGCCAGAATTAAAATGAACATTCATGAAATATAAAGTATAATGCTTTCTGTTAGAACTGCTTGTTTTCTCCTTTTTATTCATAATAACTTGAGTATTTTCATGTTTTAGACACCCAAGTAAAATGTCAGAAAGGTATGCCTCCCAACCTGCTTCCATTGTCATTGTCTCAAGCATGTTGCATAGCTCACATGTCAGGATTAGCTTGTTATTGTTTAGCTGTGAAACAGTATAAGCTGTAGCATTTCTACATCTGCATTCCTACCTGTCCAGGAAGTCTCCCAATGAACTAACCTGTTTTTATGTTTTTGGTTTTTTTATTAATTGTGAGTTAATTGTTGGCAGAAATGCTAAAATAAAATGTCAGGGTTCGTTGATATACTTCCTCTTGATGTCATTTTTTTTTTTTTATTGGATAGATGATTCAATTCATTGATCACATTAAAACAAAGTACGACAAAGACAACAAAAACAACGATGGAAAACCTTTGTACTGACATGTTATGCTAAGTTTGATTGATCTCGTAGGCTGATATCTTCAGGTCCTTTTGTGCTTTCCTTTCTAAGTGTTTCCAGGCTTCTTTAATGGCTGCTCAGCCTATAACTTAATATCTGTTTCATGAACCTGGCAGGCCATGTTTGTGGTGTTTGTTGGCCTTGGGCTGAGTGGAGACAAAAGATACTCCTGTTGAGAGGTTCAAAAAGTGGCCTGCTGTCTATGAAGAAAAGCAGTTTGGTTTTGGGCCTCATTTCTTGTACCTCCTCCTTCCTTCTCTTCATTGCTCCTCCTGAAACGGCAGTGCCTGCATACTGTCGAGGCTTTTTGGAGCTTAAAAATCCTTTACTGACGAGAAGATTTATTATTTTTATATGAAACGATGAAAGGAATTACAAAATATGTATAAATAGAATAAGTGAATTTGGCATGAATACAGGAATATAAAATCGTCTGTACGTGCTGGTTGTTCAGGCTTTTTCCTCTTATTCTTGTTGGGTATGCAGCCTTTGGGTGGTGATTTGGGTCTTCGTTGGCAGTGGGGGTCTTCCAGTTTGGGGGGGGGGGGAGAATGGAGTGGTGTTACAGTTGGAAATGACTGAGCATGCTCTGTGGAGACCCTCTGACAGAGAGGACCGACAGAGGGAGCCACCAGGTCACATGACCGGCGAGGTGAATGTGCATGCGGGGAAAGAAAAGGAAAGGAGGAACAATCTGTTCGACAGATCCTCGCGCTCTCCCTCTCTGTCCTCCCTCCTTCCCTCATTCTCTCTCTCTCTCAAACACACACTCTCCCTCACTCACTCCTTCTCTGCCGCCTTCTTCTCCTCAATGGAGGCCATGAGAAGAAAGCAGGTATGATGCTTCCTGGAGGCACAAGAGAAACGACATGTTAGCTTTGTATTCTTCACCCTTAGTTGGCTTTTAGTGGTCTGAGGAGATGCATAGTCTTTCTTCCCAGTTCCTTTTAGACCAAGTTACTACCAATTAGTTTGAGCTCTTGCTGTCTTCTCTTTGAGAAGGTTTCTGTTTTTGTTTTTTCTTTCTTTCTTTCTTTTGTTTTTGTTTTGTTTTTTAATTTAAGACGTGCTCCTCGAGCTGCTCATCTGTCAGTAATTCTAATCTGTCAGATTTCTCTGGATTCCTGAAATCGAAAACTAGATCTTAAAGGAGAGAGGATTTGTTTGTGCGTTTTTTGTGTGTGTGGTAGCAGAGAGATGTGATTATGGCATGGATGGATCCTGTGACTGGAGACGGCTCCCTTTGAATTAGAGCAATCACTTCATGACAAATGTCAATCTCAATATGGGAAGATAAGCGTGACCTCCTGAAGATCTTGAAATTTACCTGATTTTTCTAAAGTGAGGTACAGCCACCTTTTTTTGGTTATACCTTTATCTTTAATCCCTTCTCTTCTCTACTCTCTCAGTGGTCAGTATGTAGGTATGAGGTCACTGTGGCCCTTTTCTAGGCTACAGTATGTTCAGATATATACTGCAGATGCTGTTTATTAATTTAGAGGAAGTACATTGGGGTGTGATGTGAGCTATGTTTACTAGCTGCTGGATTCTGACTCGGGGTCATTGGTTCATTTGCACAATGTGTCCCATGGCGGGTTAATTATTGACATATTCATAAAGGTTAGCTGAAATTTTATGCCAAGTCAATTATTATTATTATTATTATTTTTTTTTTTTTTAGGGTATCTTTGCCTTTTTATCTAGACAGTGGACAGCTGGGAAACGACAGGAAATGAGCTAGAAGAGAGGCTGCATGACAGACCACCCAGACTATTCAAACTGAGGGTTTTTTGCAATTACAGTCTGCAGCTTCAATCCCTAAACCACCTGGAAAAAGAGCTTCTTTGTCAGATTTCTTTAGCACAGTGTCAGGCTGTTACTGTGAAGTGGTAGCAAGTTAAATGTCAAGGTGATCTGTACGATTGGGCATTTTTTAGGATTTTTTTATTAGCATGTAATGGGGGCGGGGTACTTTTATGTAAGCAGATCACAGCAGAGAACAGGTTTTGCAAATTGGTTCTTCATTCTTGAGGGATCAGGGTTCATTATTGTTTTATCTCATCTGGGTACTTAGGTACTCGGTACTTAGTGCCAGCCCCGGCAGCCTGATAGCTGCCTGTGTAATGTGTTTGTGGTTTGGTAGCTCTCTGACTTGTTTTCAGGTCTCTTTCAGCAGATCTAAAGATAGGTCACATCAGCACCTGCCTTGTCACATAAGAGGTTCACATTAAGTTGTATGGACAGGAAAGGCTGATCCTTTATAGTGCTATGAGCTTCTTTCTAATATTTATAGTGTAATATCACTAGTAACTCAACCACTGGGGCCTTCTTTGTGCACTCATAGTTGCAGCTTAGGCTCTGATTAGCTCTCACAGCCTTGGTTTCAGCTTTGGAGCTTCTTTCAGCAGCCTCCATATTCCCATCTATGAGCTTCCAGACCCCTTCAGTCCCCATCTAGTGGAAAACTGCTGCAATGGCTGCGCTGTGTCAGTAAACAATCTGGTTGCGAAATGGCGGCGATCTGCAGACAGCCTTCTCTGCCTCCCTCCCTCCCCCTTCTCCTGTCTCCACTGTGTATGTTCCACTTTTCACCACTAGGGGGAGGGCTGAGGCTTGTGTGTTTTTTGTGTAACTGGCTTTCTTCAAACCATGGGGGGGGGGGAGGGAGGGGAACTAAAAGATTCTTCTTCTCTTGACGCTCACAAGTGTTCACTAGATTCCTCCATGTTGATCATACACCAAAGAGGGTTGTCCCAGACTAGATGTTCTTTGGGGACAAACCCTCACAGACCAGTCCTTGGCCTGGACTTGTTGCTAATTGATTAGGTTCATGTTTGGCTCAGGAGCATGAACAGGGACGTGTTTCCTGACGGTTTATTTAGTTGGAGTCTCGGTTGTAAGCAGATCAGGACTCACACAGTCTGACTGTCTGAGCCATTGAGGAGAGGCTTTAGAGTAACTGACTGAATCCATTAGCTTATAGTGGCCTTATTCTCTCTCAGGTCTTTTGATTGGCTTTGTGTGAGAAGAAAATGTGTCCTCTGCTTTCCTTCATAAAGGTTAACTGATATTTTATGCAAAGTGTATTTTTTTTTTTTTTTGGATAGGCTTTGCCTTTTATCTGGATGGTGGACACTTGGGAAGCAAACAGGGAGAAAGGATGCATGGCAGACCACTCAGACTATATTTGATTGGCTTAATGTGAGAAGAAAATGAGTCCTCTGCTTTCCTGGGGCAATCTGCTTCAGTACCTGACTTACTTCTCATCAGATATGACCTCTCACCACTGATCAGCACGTGTCTGTCCCTAAATATGCCCTAAATGAGTCTTAAGAGGTTAGGGAAAGTGTAAACCTTTATTTTCTGCGCTGGTTCTGTGTAATTCCTCAAGGTTGAACTGGCCTAGATTGACTAAATGTTGATATTTGAGCTGAAAGAGAAGGCTTTGCAACAAAGTAGACCTTAATGGTAAGCATGAGAGTGAAGTCACGATGATTTTTCCTTCAAGGCCTCCTGTTTCCTTTGGGCCTGTTTTTCCAGAGTGAGCATGAAGATGAAGGTCTGCTCTGGAGGAAGAGTTTTTATGTTTCCTGCTGTTATCTCTGAGATGTAAAGACGGTCGATGGGTGATTTGGTTTTCTTTTGAAGCTGTGGCAGGCGTCTGTTGCTCCACTGGTTAGTTGTAGCATATAAGGAGAGAAGCCGGAGACAATGAGAGTGCATAGTGGTGGCCCCCAATCTCTTGGCTGGCTCTACAGTATTCCTGACACTGATACATTACTGAAAAGCACAAATAAAAAGGGATTTTACACAGGATTAGGTGCATCGAAGGATGATGGTTTAATTCAGAGATATGCCTGCTTAGGCCTGGATCACAAATGTGGCTTTGAGAAGCTAAAACCAGACTTTGTGGGGTATTTCTATCAAGAAATATGTCTTTACACTCACTTTTCAGATAGTCTTAGGCTTTAGGAACACCTGGGGGGCCTATTTTTAGACACATTACAAACTAAGCAGCCACTTGATAATGTTATCCACAAAAAATGTATTTAATAAAGCGTAATTTAACAGTTTCCCTCACATGTACTTTTTTTGGTTTTTGTTTTTCTTTAAATCAGCCCGCTGGTCTAGCCAAGAGCTGCGTGGATAAAGGTGGATCCACAAAGAAAGAGGGACTCGATCCAGGAAGCAATGGAGAAGAGAAGTCAGGTATTTGTCTAAATACGCTTGAATGTATTTTATTTGTGTAAATGATGGGTTTACATTGTGATTTAATTTGTCTTGTTTGAATGCGAAGATGGGGACAAAGAGGTAGCAGACAGACTGGCCTTTTCCCCTGCAGCAGAGGTGATGCTGAACGGCACCGAGAGCGACGACACAAGCCACAAGGACCTGACAACAGGAAATAACAAGACTGTACTGTTGTTAAATGAAAATGGCACGTCTGACACGGAGCCACCGCATGGTTCTGTTACTGGAAGCAATGGATTCATTCTCACTAAGCAGCAGCAGCCGGAGCAGGAAGGCAGCGCTGCAGCGGCACCAGGTTTGGGAGTTTCCCCTCACAGGACTAACTGGTTGCCCTCAGGCTCACCGACAGGGGGGCATGCAGCCAAAACCCTCCCTGCCTCGGCATCTGGGAGTGCACAGAGTTCAGGTGCACTAAGGACTGCCCCCAGTACAGGGACAAAGCCGGGGCAGGGGACACCAGACACTAAAAATGGCCCCAGTTTATCTCCTTCCCCGGTTCCAGCGCCAGTCACCGTACACAGAGCGCGCAAGACCATGTCCAGACCTGCTGTCAGCCCTGCACAAAAGGTGAACCATGACCAAGAGCAAGGGATTATCATGTTTGCTTTAGATTTGTTTGTGTTTTTTCAACACCTTAAGGAATAAAAATAGTTGAAGGCCAAATTGGAAAAATCTGTAATTCAGAAATGCCCTTACAATATACAACAGGTTTATCCCTGCAGCAACTCTTATAGTAATACAGCTTATATTGCCCTGTATGCAATTTCAATAGCAGTTTCATAGTTAGGGTACTATTAAACTGCTAGAGGCTTGCATTATGCTTTATATCAGCAGCTCTATCATACATCAACACAGGAGTTCTCAGATTCCCAGCTGGCAAAGAGGGAGATGCTAAAAACGTAGGAAAAGATGAGATGTTCTGCAGAAAACATCGTCCTCATACATTTTGTTTCCTGTTTCAACTTTTTCCATTTCTGTTCCAGTGCTGAAGCGTGGTCATTTCTGAGTATCCACACCTTAGCATTTGGGTGCCTCACACTTGAGTGTGAATGGTTACAAAGCTGTGTTAAAGTAGTAGTTCATGCATGCTGCAACACATCAACCCTAACCCTGATGTTAGAGCTTACAGGGTTAATCTGCGACTATAAAGGCAGGTATTAGAAGCAATTTGACCACAACCACATTTCCTCTGAGTAATGGTGTGTTATTCATTTCATCCCAAGGGTGTTGGATGACCTTGAGGTCAGTGACTATGTAGGCCAGCCCAATTGTCTTTTCTTGTTTCTTGTGGTTTTTGCCTTCATTTGACTAGGCAAATCATAAAGAACAATTTCTTTATAGATCTGGCTTTGCGAATGTGTATTTTGTCCTGATGAACCAGAAAAACGGCTTCCCCAAACTCAAAGCTGCAAGCTGTCGAAACAGAATTATATAATTGTGTACTCGAGCATGACTGCTTCCTTTTTAGACCTGTGGCTCTTTTCATGAAAGGATCTTATCTTGCCTTTGTTACCTGAAATGTCACTAAAAGTTCCTACCTCCTAAGAACTGTTTACAAAGGTGCTGACAGGAGCATTTAATAAGGAGCAGAGTGGAAATGGAAGAGATTGGGACCTTTGTGGAACTTTGCTTTTGAAAAGATTGTCATTAAAACGAAGATGGATGGAAGGAAGAACTTGCCACCATTGAAACACCTCATGTGGGTGCATATTTCTCAATAAGAAGAATTACCTGCAGCACTAGTGCAAACTACAACAAATGTAATGGGTCTCCTTGGTGAAAAGTGAAAAAACTTTAAAAAAAAAAAAAGCAATCTGATCAAATTTTATTTTTAAATCCTACCTGATGAGACCAGAGCCTGGAAAATACACTATAGTAGGTTTTTTTTGTTTGTTTGTTTGTTTTTAAACCCCTCAACCCTTAAAGGCCGATTGGTGTCATCACCCTGCCGCCCAGTGAGGCAGGCATCAAGTTTATGAATGACATGACTCAAGAACGAAGCAATGTAGGAGTTTTAAATTGATACCATAGGTGTATCTTCTAGGAGGCTGAGGGGGGTGCCATTGGCTGTCTGCAATATTTGGTTTAAACGGGTTTCTTGCATATTTTTCAAAGCATTTTACTTAGCTGGACGTTGTCTAAGTAGCTCTTATTTTCATCCTCATCAGAGGCTGTCTGATGCATGGTCTAATCTCGTTTTGCATGCTGTGTCATTGATATCTGGATATGACATTTTTCTATCATGTAAAAACATATAGCAGTGGTATCCTGGAGAATAGGGGTCTAGTGCATAAGTATTAAATTGAATTTTTTTATTTTTCATCCAGTTTGATAACGATTTTTAGCACTTAAATTGGTTGTGGTTCTGGCACCTGAACTTTTAATGTCTACTTACTTTTGGGCAAACATGTTGAGGCATATCTTATAAAACAGAAAAAAAACAAGGAAATTGTTCCTCAACACTTTATTTTTTATTTATTTATTTTTTTTATCAGGCAAAACTTGTTAGATATGTAAAAACGTAAACCTCTTAAACATTTCCTGAAATATAGATAGATTTGTATTACTTGTCTGCAGCAGGAAGCAGGCTTAATTCTCAGACCTTTTGGTTTGATTAGCAGAAGCGGACATGGGGCACACAAGTTCTTCACTCTGAGGTTCATCGAGCCAGCTGCTCAACAGGCGGCTTCTCTAATCTAATATGAAGGCAGATGATAAACAATACGACTGAACAAGATTTTAACAAGAGCAAATTATAGCAAACACAGGGATCAATGGTAAAAGTGCAGTAAAAGTTAAGCCTGCATTCTTGGCCAGCATCTGGTGACCAGTTTTATACAGCCTCAGTTCCTTGTCCTGTGACCTCAGTAAAAACCTTGAAGAATTTATGGCTTCAGTCAGTAGTTTCAGGCTGTTTAAAACACCCTAATTTGATTAAATTGCAGTCATTATTGAAATAAAAGAGGATTATCCAGGGTGTGCTCTTTGGCTACTGGGCGTGCTGTGACCATCAGTTTCACAGTCAGATCCAGCCCCTAGTTTCAGTTTCAAAAAGCCAAGATGGCTGACAGCTGAAGGCTTCACAGGCTTCACTAACTCTTGGATTTGTGACACTGATATTGTGCTCGGACATGTAAAACCACTTTATATTTCTTACAGTCAGTATTTTCATGAAGTTTACCTGGTTTAGCAAGTGACCCATAAGCTGGAAGCCTACTGCAGAAGCCCAGGCTCAAGTCAGCCCTGAGCTATTTACTGCTTGTCATTTCCTGTCTGCCACTCACTTGGTAAAGGATAAAATAATAAATTAAATCTTTATTTATTTATTTTAAAAGAGCAAGAGATTGACAGAGAAAGAATTGTTTTTAGCTGCTCCCTTCCACTACTGGCTTGTTTTACACAGCGACAGCATTACTGCATAAGGAAGTTCAAATAAAATCTGTGCACATTATCTTCTGCATCTTTGAATAAAACTTAGGATATTTCTTAATAAAATAGCTGCAGGCTGGAATTAGCCATCCTGGCTCTCTAGCAGGAATAGCTGCAGCCTGCAGAGGGGAGTCTAGAGAGTGGGCGCAGCATTTACTCCACTATATTTGTTTACACACTTTAGATACTCAGTTATAGATACAGATTAACTAGCTAGCAGTATATAAGGGAATGTGTTTGTGCAAAAGTTCGAGCAACTACTCATTGCTTTATGTTTTCAGGAAAATGAAAGGGAGGTTCAGTGATGAATAGAAACATGCGCAAATATAAAATGAATATAAGGCAAAAACAGTTAAATGACCACCTTCCTTTTTCAACACACGTTGGCCTCTCTTAGAAAACCTTCTAGTAAGGAATAACTCTCTAGGCTTCTTAAGGGCCATTCAAAGTTCCTTTTTTGATGTAGGCAGCCTTTTTGTTATTTCCTGTCGCATTGATCCCACACTGCTTCAGTAATGTTGAGGTTCAGGCGTTGGGGAGGCCAGTCCATGGCTGATAGCGTTCTATTGCAGTCTGTATTTTCATGCTGAAAAAAATGAAGCTGTTGCCAGTTAGAAGCTTTGCAGATGGTAATGAATGGTGGTTCAAAATCTGATGGTACTCTCCCAACACCACTGGCTGAAATGAAGCCCCAGGCAATGATGGAGCCTTCGTGTATTTGAGTCTTCTTACTTGGAAATATTTAATTGAATGGTTGTAAAACCGTAGCTCACTATGTGGACATTACAACACTAAAAATGTTGGCTTTATTTTACTTAGTGTGTGTATATTTAGGTTTTATTTAAAAAAATAAAATAAAATTGGGCCTTGTTTACTTTCCTTATTCTGCCATAAATATACTGTTACAATCATATGCTTATATTAAGCATATCCAAAGTTTCAGATAATGAAGTCACTCTTTGTAGCTCAATTGGTTTACTTCTACAAACTCAAGTTTGAGGGAGTTTTTTCTGTTCTTGGCTCTTTATGATGTCAGTGCGTGCAGATTTCACTTATGTTGACATCTCAGAGCCACAGCTCTGACTGTGAGCACAGGTTTAAAGTTAGGAGACAGAGGATGAACTGATCAGCTGAACCAGGGCTTAGTATACGATAAATATGGATTATTTTGTACTTGAATCATGCTAAGCTGCTCTAAAGGAGTCCATGAATAGAGTGGGGGTGGGGGGGTTTGAATGGAAATTGGTTTTAAAAACAAGAAAATAAAACAAGAACTAACCATGAGGAAACCTTTTGTAACACATTGATCCTAAATGCTTTTGCCACTCTGCAGCTTCTTAACAGGGAATTAAGGGAAGCAAAGAGTGCCAAAATGGAGTCTCATGTTGCACCCGACCTGCAGAAATCCTCACCGCAGTCACCCTCTCAGAACCACCTACCTCAGAGTCCACCAGATACGCCATCTTCAGCACAAACTGCATCATCCGCTTCACCAGCACCTGTTCCTCCACCACAGCCACCTCCAGCTCCTGCAGAACGGGCAGCTCCTTCGGCTTCTCCTGCTCCTGTCCAAGCCAAGCTCCAGCTAGGTTAGACTGACTCCAGCGACACATCACAAAAGCTAATGCACTAAAAATTGGAGCAGAGTGTAATGTTTGTCTGCGGTAACACTCTGCTGTAAATGTGGTGTTCTCTTGTGCTCTAGGCTCTTACTCAGGAGTGCTGTCATCCCGTAAGAAGAAGAGGCGAATGGGAATGTACAGCTTGGTTCCCAAGAAGAAAACCAAAGTGCTAAAGCAGAGAACTGTGCTGGAAATGTTTAAGGAACTACAACAGACTGCCAAGAGTCCAGAGGTCTGTGCTTCTCATCTTTTCAAAAAATTTGCAAAATTAAAAGAAAGCGTAACACGTATTCATTTAGCCTCTCGAGGCACATCTCATACATTCAGTGTTTCAGTCTTACGCTTCTCATGCACTTTCTGCACTTGAATGTTGAAAAAAATTGCCACATGTGGAATAAATTATTCCAATCATTGTCCACTGAGACATAGACAATTAAAAATCGTCATATATGACCCCAGCTCTATATATTAGATGTGCTATTGCATTTTTGAGAACAGAACATATTTCAATCAACGTCTCCGACAACTTTTCCTAGTTTTTTAAACAGACCAGGACTGTTGGTATGGTAAGGTTAATGGGAAGTTGTTCAGGTTCATTTATGACCTCGGAAATGCTGAGGTGCTGCTGTTAAGATATGACATTACATCCACTTTTTTCCATTTGTTGTCTTGCAGGCTAAAGAGGTGGCCAGCATAAATGGGGAGAAAGTGGGAAATGCATCTGAGGATGAAGAGTCAGAAGATCTGGAGTCTGAAGAGGAGGAACAACAGCAGCCATCAGAAGAACCGGAAAGTGCTGCGCAGGAAACCTCTGAATCCATCGCTCAGGTTGGAGAATAAAAGTTGTTTCCTTCTCTTGAAACCTTGTGTGGTTGTTTCTTTGTGGGAACTCTGAATAACTGTGAATGCAATGCGTTGCAGTGAAAGTCTTATGTGTTAAATGCTACTGATGAATTCTGTTTGCTTTTCCTGGTGGAGGTGAAAGACGAGCAGGAGTCTGAAGAATCTGGAGAGGAAGAGTTGGAGGAGGAAGGCACTGAATCTGACTTGGTAAGACCGCTTGCCACCACTTCTCCATCTGCATCTCATACCACCTCTTTTAGCTAAAAAGGGAAGAGAATTGATGTTTTGTTTTGGGGTTTTTTCTTGTTTCTCTCTGTTGTTTAAAATCATCCCTGTGGCCAAACTCTCACCTGCATCAGAGCACAGAGTCGAGTCTGAAGAAAAAATTGAAAAAGAAAACAAAAGCAGACAGCGCATGGCTCCGGCCCTCCAGGAAACGAAAAAGGAGGATGAAGTCCAAAGGTGATCGCTGTTCCTCTATATGCACATCCACCCAATCACCTATCTCAATATTCTCAGGCTGACTGATGCTATTTCTTGAGAGAAACACGTCGCAAGTGGATGACAGAAAGTAATTCTCTGAAACCGACATTAACCCCAGAAACTAAAACTATGTACTGCTGGGTAAATGTTCAGCAGTGAACTGATGTTAGCCACCTAATAGATTCAGTATCTGTTTATACACTGGCTTTATTTAGATTCTTTTCTAAATAAACTTTTCACCTCTTTACCTGCTGCCAGACTGACAGAAACAGTCCTTTTAGTTCAAAAACATGTGAATTGTTTGTGTGCTGCTCACCTTGATTGGTGAGTTTATTTCTCGACTTCAGACTTAAGATCTGAACTGCACATTCACAAAATAAACAATAAACAAAGCTCTCAATTGTTGCAGCAGCTCTGTGTCTGTCTCCTTGATTCAGGTTCCTTTTTTAGAGGGAGCTTGAAATCCCATGTGAGAGGTGGAGATAGCTTTACTGGCAATATTGCCTCATTTTATATCTCTTAACCCAACCCTAGGCTACGTCTCCAGCTGTTTGATAGCAAAAAATACATATGTATCTGGTGGAGGGCAGTATTTTTCAGTATACATGCACGCAGGATTACAGCACACAGTTAAGTTAGCTTATTTTGTCAGAAATCTGTATTTTCTGGCCATTTTTGACAATTTAATTTTAAAAGTATATTTGTGTAAATAGTTGCTCAATTAATAAAATGAGCTTTAAAAATGTATATAATCACAGTGCTGGTGATCTTCTGGGTAAAAATTGGTTTCTAAAAATGTGAGTTTAAGCCTCTGCTAAACCCTAAAATCTGTCTGAGACTCTACAGGGTGGCTTTGGCTTTTATTGACTAAAATGACAAAAGTCAGATTGCAAGCTGACTAAAACTTCAGATCCACATTGGTCTGAAAACATGGCACAGTTCAAACCCAGCACCCAACTGGCTGCACTTGTTGTTCCTGTTTGATATACATCTACACTTCTGCAGCTTCTTTGAACTAAAGGAAAAATGCCATAATTATATCTTGTCTGAACATTTTTCACCAAGGCTCTTCCTTAAGTATTTTCTTATCCTTCGTCTTTCTCACAGAGCCGGAGGTGGCTGTTCAGCCTCAGGCTCCAACTCCAGCCGAACCCCATGATCACAAGGAGTACACGCAGATTGTCCCACCTGTCAGCCTCAGCACGCCTTCACCCAGCAAAGGTGAGATTCAGTCTAGTTCAGTCACTTCAGTTACCAGAGGTAAGGCCTCAGACACAGATTGGCTCCACCTGCCTGTGCCACAAAACCCGTCGAAGCATCTACACGCCTAACTTCAGTATCCAGGTGGATGAGTTACTAAAAAAAAAAAAGAAAGCGCCACTCAAGAGTTGTTATCGAAGTGGAACCTATCCAGATGCCAAAAGTGTGTTCATAGCAGGCTGTAAACATGCTTATTTCTGCTGTGAAGTTGGTTGTTAATATGGTTGCTGGATCTTTTTTTTTTTCTTCCCTTCCCTTCATGTCAATCAGGAGCTGTTATAGTGCACACGTTCAAAGCAATGGAGCCACAAAGTTTTAAAAGCCAAAATGCTACAGAACTGAGAGAGTGGTGAAAATTGAGTATTCAATTTTAATTTGCAAGTTTTACACCCAAAATTACAAAAAAAAACCCAACGAACCTCCAAAGGGCTTCTGTGATATTTGGGTGATAAAGGGTTAAATGTCTTGTTTTGTTGATTTGAATAAATAGTTTTCTATTCCTGGTGAGACCAATGTGGTTGATTTCATTGGCCACGCTCTTTTCTTTCTTCAGACACTTCAGGGTCGGCGGTTGAGGAGGCTCAGGAGCTTCCGCTCTGCAGTTGCCGCATGGAGACCCCCAAGAGTCGAGAAATTCTCATTCTGGCAGACAGGAAGTGCATGGCCACAGAGAGTGTAGATGGACAGCTGACTCGCTGCCAGGACGCTGTAGTGAAACATGAAATGATGCGTCCTTCCAACTCCGTTCAGCTACTCGTTCTGTGCGAGGACCATCGCAACGGCATGGTGAAGCACCAGTGCTGTCCGGGCTGCGGCTTCTTCTGCAGAGCGGTGGGTGAAAACTGCGTGCCAATCAGTTTGAGGTCTCTGGCTGCAGTTTAACTTGCAGCTACTGTCACAAATGGAACAATTTACACAGATGAAACACTTGCATGGTAAATGGCTCTGCATTTACTCTGAAGATTGAAGAAGCTGCACTAATCTCAGTTCTTTGGGGTTAATGACGCTTTCACACAGGACACAGCATGTGATGCGTTTGCCATTTCTCAATGAAGCCATTGAGGTTTTCTGTTTTCTCTGGCTCCTTTACTCATACCTCAAGGCTTTTTAATAGATCTGTGGAGCTTCTGTAAGGAACGTGTAACTCATCTAATATGTTCACAGATACATAAGACCACACAGTTTGTGCTTGACAGTCTTGACTAAACACTTTCCTAATTTGTGCCTCAGATTTCTAAGTGTGAGTCCTGGATGACACTTAGATGTCAGTTAGTCTTTTTACTCATTAAGTACATGTCGTGATTCAGTATCGTGAAGAACTAACTTTATCAGGAGAAACTTGAAGTAATTCATTATGGCGGACTCTCACATCATTCACCGTTCTTTTTTGGCAGATGTTGGTTGTAGGGCTCTTCCTCCTTTGGGCTCTTATGAGTGAATATTGTAGGTTTACAGAAGCAACCTAGACACTGTTTTCGTGTGAGACGTGGTCAGAGGACATGTGCTTTGTGAATGTTTGTTTACAGAGACTGTTTGTTGTTCCTGCACAGGGGACCTTCATGGAGTGCCAACCAGATGTGAACATCTCTCACCGTTTCCATCACGCTTGTGCCTCAGTGCTGAAAGGTCAAAGCTTCTGTCCTCACTGCGGAGAAGAGGCCAGCAAGGCCAAGGAGGTCACAGTTGCCAAGGCTGACACCACCTCCACCGTGCCCCCTGCTCTTGAACATGGGCCAGCCACGCCTGGAGCCCTCGAGGGCCGAGCAGACACGACCACTGGCAGGTAAAAATGCGACTTTGGAACTATTTTGTTTGTTTATTACAAAATGCCGAACTTAAACTTTTGTTCTCACTTGTTTTCTAGCTCCTCTTGTTTAACTGTGGGGGCTGAAGTCAGTGGCCGGGCTGACAGTTCGCTGCCTGTTCGTTCTGCACATGGATTCGACACATCTGCTGTTCCTGGGTCCTCCAGGGCTGCCCCCCTGCAGGCTGTGATGGCAACAACAGCCCTGTGTACACTCACTCCAGGACCCAGAGAAACTCTAGAGAGCATCCTGGTGGCTCTCGACACAGAAAAGTAAGTAAACCCACCTTAATTCACCTAAAAGACCACGATCCATTTACAAGCTAATTCATTTTTTTGTGTCTGTTTGATCAGACCCAAGAAACTGCGCTTCCACCCTAAACAACTTTACCTCTCTGCCAAGCAAGGAGAACTGAAGAAGGTCCTGCTCATGTTGGGTACGTAAATCCCATTCAGGCTCTGTCATCTGCACTCATTTTCATTTTTCACCTTGTAGTGATGTCTGCCAAAACTAGTTTTGCTTCTTCCAGGAAGCTGGTGTAATTTTCATGACCCTCAAATTTTATTATGAATAATTTTACCACATGCATTTGGTAGCATTAGACAAACACAGAAAACTTACAAAGTCCTTGACCCCCAGCCTAAATACACAGTCCACACACTGTATACAATTTCAGCCCATCCGTCACCACAAGCTGGCAACTTCTTGTCACGTGCATCCAACATGTGACAAGAAGTTGCCGACTTTGATCCAAATACTAATTGTAAAATCACAAATGATGCCATTTTTTTAAAAAAAAAGAAAAGAAAATTATCCATCAAAACTAGCTCTGCTCTAAGCTGGACAGCTGGCACAGTTTACACAGAAGTGTGTGTCGGGGGGGATTTTTTTTAAAAACATAAACGTCGGCAGGTATTTTCATGCATCTTCCTCGCCTTCCTTTACCTTCCAGTGGACGGTATTGACCCGAACTTTAAGATGGAATCGCAGAATAAACGCACCCCGCTGCACGCAGCAGCAGAGGGAGGTTACAAAGACATCTGCCACATGCTTGTTCAGGTAACCTTGTGCTTCACATCTCTCTGACCGAAATATTAAACTTTGAGTTACTTTCTGACAAAAACCTTAAAATAAAAATCTCAACCAGAGGTTTATTCTAATATTAATGATTCTGATTTTGTGGAAGCAGTTTTACATTACCGGTAGCTGTTTGTATGATGTTTCAGGCTGGTGCAAACTTGGACATGTGTGATGAAGATCAGCGGACTCCTCTGATGGAAGCCTGTGAGAACAACCACATGGAGGTGGTCCTGTACCTGCTCAGAGCTGGAGCCAGTGCCATGCACAAGGTAAATATGCACCAGATTTTTCTCTGAGGTTCCCATCAGCCAACTAAAGATCCAGGTGAAATGTTTGACTAAACCTGAATCAATAATTAAATCCTCTGCCATTCTCAGGATGTTGAAGGGTTCACGTGCCTCCACCTAGCGGCCAAATCTGGCCATTACAAGATTGTTGAGCACCTTCTGTCCACTGGACTGATTGATATTAACTGCCAGGTTAGTACACTTAAAAATGTCTCTTGTGAAAGAAGGGGAGAGGCTGCAAGATTGAAATGTACAGCTTCAGGATGCAGCACTCTGTCTATGTGTTAACTACAGAGCCATGTGTAGACTAGCTTAGCTTTAACAAGCAGTGAAAAACGGCTATCCTAGTTTATAAGAAAACAAAAAAAAAAACATGTGTGCTTTTACTTCAGCTTCCCATAGTCACCCTGTTCCCAGTTGATTTCAACCTTAGCAAAAGGTTGGTTTTCTGGCTGTAGTTTCATGATTGCTTTGTAGATGAGGGGGTATCAAGCTTCTGATCCATGGGCAAAGAAACAGATGGTGTCCAGGTTCCTGAGGGTCCTTAAAAAGTCTCAAATGCATCATTAATCAAAAATAAGACTCAGTGTGTGTTAAGATATCTCAATGTCTTTTTCTAAAACTGCAAAGAAATAATTTTTCTGACATTGTTATTGAAAATGTCCAAAATATGTTAGCCTTCCTTTCTTAGCAATGAAGCAGAGAAGATTTGAAACCTGGAAATTGATGCTGGTTGCTTAAATCTGATGGTTTAAGCAGTTCTAACAAGCAACATAGATGAAGTTGTTGTGGATGCTCATGAGTACACATGAAACTTGTCTCAATCCTAGAGAATTTGTACAGTTTTCAAAATTTCATTTTGAGACATTAAAAGTAGAATTTAAAACATAATCCTAAATTTAGCTACATTTGTTGAAACCCTGTAAAAATGTCTTTCCCCATACCTGTTTAAAATACTTCCACACCAGTCTTTTAAGTTTCTTAAAATTTCAGATCTGAGAGATGATAAACAAAGTTTTATATAATAGTAATTCGTGTTAGGATGTACGTTCGTATTCAGTTTATTTATTCAGTGTACTGCCTACAAAGCAAACATTTTGCACTGAGCTAAAATGTTTTGGTTGACTGATGTCCTCTGCACTAAAAATTGTTGCTCTCAAAGCTCAGTAATGAATAATATGTTTCATATGATCTGTAACTTCCATTAAAAAAAATAAATATTCATTGATTTACTTGTTTTCCATTCATGTGACACACTACGATGGATTTCCAGTGTGTATTTTTACTGTAAAGCACTTTGTAACTGGGCTTAAAAGGTTCTCTGGGAATAATTGATGCATGACGTGCTGCACTCTGCTGCATGTGTCTTGGATTAAGATGTATGAACTTGCTATATGTAGCATCAGGACAGCTTTGACGTAATGAAGCAGCCTTTCCTCTTTTACTACTCTGTACTCAGGAGGACTGAAAATTAAAAGCTGTGCTTTTCTTCTTAGTTGTTGTTGTTGTTGTTGTTGTTGTTGTTTTTGTTTTGTTTTTTTAATAGGAATTCCAATATGTAGTTGGATTGATGTTGTTTCAGTATTTCTTCAGCTGATTTTCAAGCCCATTATTAATTTTCCACAGGATGACGGAGGCTGGACGCCCATGATCTGGGCCACAGAGTACAAACATGCAGACCAGGTGAAGCTGCTTCTTACTAAAGGAGCTGACTGCAGCATCAGGGACAAGGTTAGCATAGAAGTCTCTACACCCCAGGTTTGAAATCCTTTGCAGAAGAATTAAATGTTGGCTAATTGTGGGTTTATTTGGGTTATCTTCATTTAGGAAGAAAACATTTGCCTTCACTGGGCTGCATTCTCTGGCAGTGTGGAGATAACGGAGCTGCTGTTGAACGCTCACTGCAATCTGCAAGCTGTCAACATCCACGGAGACTCTCCTCTACACATTGCTGCTCGGGAGAATCGCCTGGATTGCATCACGTGAGTTGCCAGCCCCACCTACCTACTAAAAAAAAAAATTCCTTGTTGTCGTAGATAGTCGGTAAAATGTGTTCTTTGTCTCATCAGGCTCCTCCTGTCTCGAGGAGCAGATGTGTTTTTGAAGAACCGTGAGGGAGAAACTCCCCCAGACTGCTGCAGCCACAACTCGAAGGCCTGGGGCGCTCTGCAGGCCAACAGGAAGGAGAGGGATGCCAAAAACATTAGGCTTAGTCAAGCAGAAGAGAAAGCCCTTCACAGGTTAAAGACCAGGCTGGGAGGGATAAAGCATCATAAATAGCGATGTCAAGATTCTGTCCACCTGTTTCTTTCAAATTAAAGCACCTAAACTGTCTCTCTGTCCATTTACAGTGACATAGCTTTAGGGCAAGAGCGAGTTCCCATCCCCTGTGTCAACGCAGTTGACAGTGAACCTTACCCAGATGGCTACAAGTACATCCCCGAAAACTGTGTTACTTCCCCCATGAATATTGACAGGAACATAACACACTTACAGGTGAGCTAAAGGCCATCTGATTAGGCTTTTAACATTACTTAAACCCCAACAACAAACGATAAAGAGACAAACTAAAAGGAAACTGTCTGCATGAAGAACAGCAAGTTCAGATTTACAGAAGAAACCCCTGTCATCAACAAAAAGATCCAGTATCCTCAACAAAGTTCAAGAAGAGAACTTTTTTCTTTTTACTCAAAAAGTTGCAGATGAATTTGCGTTTCCACTTAGAAGTGATGAAGTTTTGGAGGCGATCCAGATTTGGACCCAGTAATCTATGGAAAATTCTTCACTGTTGCAACATAACACAGAATTCACATCGTAACTTACAATGTACTTGGATCTGTATTTAAGAAAAAATAAATAAAACGATCACGTTGTGAATCCACAAATGCTGGCTCATAACTGCCAAGGGGAGGAAGGGTGCAGCTGAAACCTGGAAACAAGTTACAGCACATTACCAGAACTTCACAGGAAGTCCTGTGATTTCACTCACTTATCTCAGTCCACTTTCTGTTGCTAAGGTTGAAATCCTTTGATTCAGATCACCTAATTTTGCAGACACTTGTGGTCAAAAGTTTACTTTTGGAGTGAATGCATGATCAGACTGTTCCGGCACTTTCTGTTAAATGTTTTAACGTCGTTTGTGTTGCATTTGATCCAAGCCATCAGTAATACAGTGCCATTAGACATTTTAAAAAGAACTATAGGTTTTTCTTTGCATTGTGAAGTGACCTATGTTATTTTCTGCTCTGTTGCAGTACTGTGTTTGTAAGGAAGACTGCTCTGCGAGTATCTGCATGTGTGGACAGCTCAGTCTGCGCTGCTGGTACGACAAGGTAAGAACGGGCAATCTGCGAGTCTGAAAGTGTGCCTACACCTTAATAAAATAAGCTTTACCCAACATTAAATCACTACAGTTTAGTGTAACTACCATCGTTGAAACCATCAAGCTCATAGAGAGCACTACATGTGTGTATTGTCCTGTTTAGAGTGGTCGACTTCTACCTGAATTCTGCCGAGAGGAGCCTCCTCTCATCTTTGAGTGTAACCATGCGTGCTCCTGCTGGAGGACCTGCAAGAACCGCGTAGTGCAAAACGGACTCAGGTGATTTAACAAATACAACTCTTAAAGGATTTGTGGCTTTGTAAGCCAGCATGTGTGTATATAACAGAGTTTTGATGTGAACAGCTGCACTACTTGCTGTGTGAAGGTAAAAAAGATGAGTGTTGCTTAAAGATGTTTCTGGTCCTCTAGGACCAGACTCCAGCTGTTCAGGACCAGTAAGAAAGGCTGGGGTGTCCAAGCACTGCAAGACATACCACAAGGGACCTTTGTATGCGAGTAAGTCAAAGACAGCCCAATAACACTTGTTTTGTAGGGATCGATCCTTCAGTGTTTCCCAGCATAATTTATAGTTTGAAAACGAGGAGAATAGTGGCCACGACTTTGTGTTTTATCACTTCTGCTTTCATTTCGGGAAAAATTAAAATGCTATTCTTGCACGTGCAGCTTTATCTTTATCTCCTACCAGATGGTCCCAAGACTGACCCAAGACGACTGTCAGTAGTCTAAATGCAAGTATTGCACATACAAAACCAGATGTTTGGTTAAGTTTAGTTTTAAACAGGAGCATGGAAGGATCTGAAATATCTGTCTTAGCAAAGGAAGTGGTACATCATGTCTGACCAACACAGAAAGTTATAAATGACTTGAATTTTTTATCTACAGAAGTCAGACTGGACCCTGGCTGAAATCACTGCTTTTCAAAGAGGAATCGGTCATGAATAATGTGCTGCCCCTTGTTTTACGGCCCTTCGGTACACTGCAGTTCGTGCCTTATGTGACTGATTTTCTGAATGTGCTTTAAAAACTCTTCTAGGGACGGGTGTTGCAAACCAGCTTGGGCTGTAAAGTCTGGTGTATTGCACGGTTCATGTCACAAACTTGTGAACAAAAGATGAATATTAAAATGTTCCCGCCCCTCATGGCCCGTCTGTTTTTGAACAGGTATGTCGGTGAGATAATCTCTGAAGCAGAAGCAGAGATGAGGCAAAATGATGCTTACCTGTTCAGTCTGGATGACAAGGTGAAGTAAAAGTGAAGAAAAATTTGAATAGACGTTGGACTGTTTTCTGGTTTTCTTCCTTCTATGCAGAGTTCTTTTAAAAAATGTTTTAATTTGAGCTTTTCATTTATTTTATTATTCCCCCTTCTGCAAACCACAGGATCTCTATTGCATTGATGCTCGTTTCTATGGAAATATCAGTCGCTTCCTCAACCACATGTGCGAGCCCAACTTGTTCGCTTGTCGAGTGTTCACGAAACACCAGGACCTGCGCTTTCCACACATTGCCTTCTTTGCCAGTGAAAACATCAAAGCTGGAGAGGAGCTTGGGTAAGCTTTAGTTATTTTAATTTATGTTCGTCTGTTTTTCTGCAATGTTGTGTTTGTTGTTGTTATAACACAGTCCCCTGTTTTTTTTTGGGGGGGGGTTTGTTGTTTTTTTTTAGTTTGTTTGTTTTTTTGGGGGTTTTTTTTTGGTCCCCCACCCCTTAGAAAATCTGAACAAATAAAACAAAGGAAAACAAAGTTAAAAAACAACAACGCTGTACAAGACGGCAGAGCAAAATAAATGCGTTTCTGGGGTCTAGTAATGCCATAGTGATGAATTGCTACAGATCAGCACGGCTATTTAGTTCCAACCCTTGCGTGTGGGAAATGAGCTGTGGGTGGTAACTGAAAGAGTGACATCATTGATCAGATGGAAGAAATGAGCTCCTGGTTTGTGGCCACCATGGTACCATTGCCATTTATACTGGCTCTTGAGACATGCCGGACTTGCTGCAGTTTTCTCCTGAATGCAGCATCTCCCTCCCTCAGCAGTTAAGGGCAACAGTGGCATGCAAGAATGAGGCACGGAGCCCTGGGTTGACCCACTGCTTCTCCACATCACAATGAGCTAGCTGATGAAGCTTCCTGGGTGGGAGATCCCAGGACAAACTGGAGAGATTGTGTCTCTGAACTGGTTTTGGAATGTCAGCTGAAGAGCTGAAGGGGATCTGGAGAGCTTTGAATTGACACTGCCACAGTGTCAGTGGCATACCTGAATAAACAGCAGAAAGTGGATGGACAATTTATAAAAAATGCTAACTTTTAACCACTGCTGACTGTATTTGCAAGCAACATTTGAATAAATTACCTTTTTAACGGCTGTGAATTTACAGCATTTGGATTTACATTTAGAACTGCCGTGAACCAGCGAGAAGCTTTTGGCTGTAAGATGAATGTAGTTTTGGTTGCATAGCAGCACTTTTATGTAAACATTTCCTTTCTTCTGTCGTCCTCCTCTCAGATTTAACTATGGTGACCACTTCTGGGAAGTCAAAAGCAAGGTGTTCAGCTGTGAATGTGGCTCATCCAAGTGCAGGTACTCCTCAGTGGCAATGGCGTCCCTGCAGGCGGACAGCACACCCGAGGACCAGCAGCAGCCCAGCGCGTCGCCTGACACCAGCTCTTCCAACAGTCCTTCCAGTCCCTCCTAAAAAAACAAAAAAAAAAACAAAAAAAACCAAAACACAACAACAAAAAAAAACAAACAAACGCTCCACACACTAAGTTTGGCCTCGTGTACTGACGGACACACGGGGACGCCAGTCCACATCCTCTTTAAACTTTCATTGGTGAACTTGTACTGTATCTCCACTTTGGATTGAAACCACGGACCACTGACCTTCGTTGAGAACCTAAAGACGAGATGCACAATCACATCCTGGACTAACCTCCTGCTCTATTATTCCGCCGTATGTAATGTGAACAGCAGGGGTGATGTCATCACGCACAGTAAACGCCACAGACGATAAAACAGTCTTTACATTTCATACTTCACTTTGCTGGAAAGCAGAACTGTGCGTTTTTGTTTTTCCCTTTTTCACCCCCCCCCTTTCCTGTTTTTTGTTTTTTGTTTTGACACGACTGACGATTTTCAGTGGACTTTTACAAAAGTCATCAAAGAATTTGAGGTCACTGATTAAGGGTAATATTGTCTTTTGCAAAGACAGCCCCAGCGCACAGCTGGGTGTTACTTTTCTGACCTTTTCCGTTATTGACCATGAACCATTCCAGCAAAACTAGCTGATAAATATTAAATTATGTTGCCACTTTTTTTGGTGTCATTCATCTTTGAGTGTTTCAAAGGACTTTTCAGACATTTTTCACGACACCTGAAGATGAATTTACTAAAGAGAAAGAAGTGGACTGCTTTTAATTTGCTCCTCAAGTGGTTATAGGTTGTAAAGTGGAACAATGTTAATCCATTCCTCAGCATTGAGGCGTTTCTAGTCTGAATAAATTGGCTGACCTTTTTATTGAGCATGCGTATGGGGTGTGAAACGTGCCGGACGTTTTCGCCGTTCTTGTTGACGAATTGATTTAAAGTGAAAATGAGCAAGGAAAAAAAAAAGAAAATGGTGCTGACAAAGGTTTTTACTTTTGTTTTCATTTTTATTACCCAAGTGAACATAATTTGTAAAATAAGAGAATGTTTTAAAGTTTTTTTTAAGTTTAATTTTATCTCCAGTTTTCTAATTGTAGTTGCCGTAGTCTATTTTAGTTTCATGATTTTTGCCGACAGAAGCCAACCTGTCATTTTAAATGTTGTTAGTAAAGCAGTGACTGTTGTGCAAAGTCTTGAAAGGTATAGGTGGAAAAAAGGTTATAAAAATGCACTTCCATTATGTTCTGTTACATATTTCTGGACCGTGAACCATCCATCTGATTGGTTGTATCTTTTTCAATAAATTTAATACTAATGCATTTATCCTGTTATGCTTCATTTGTTGGAGTCTGCTTGAATGCATTCCTGAAAATGTGCTAGAACAGAAACTGCTTCCTCGTAGCTTTTACTTTGTCAACCACAAACACATTACTTAAAGAGGTGAAGCCTGCAGGCACTTTGACCCAGCACAAACTGAGTAGCAGCCCAGGTTTGACAGATGGGCTTAAATATTCAGCACCTGAGAGGCTGACGCTTCATACGCAGCCTCCTTTTAATGAGTTGAGATTTTTAAACTTGTTTGTGCCATGAGTTCATTTCTGTAGCGGTTTAGACTGTAAGTACCAAAATCAACTTCTTCTAACCGAGAGCTCTTTCTTTTTGATACAAGGAACAAAATGTTCTGGGCTTTCTGACCAATCAAGTCTACAAAAGTCTACAAAAGTCATGTAGTTAAACATTATTCAGTGCTCGTGTCTCATGTTTCAGTTCAAATGACCAATGTGTGACCCTTTGTTTACTTCATCTTTGTCGGTATAGCTCTGGGGGGGAGAATCAGCTATAAAAATTGGTGTGCAAAGCTTCATGTGTGATGCCAAAATATACAACCTAATAGACTAAACTAGGCACGATAAAATAGGATCTTCTCTGGGTTTTGTTGGGGCGGTGGGGGGTTGTATATTGTGCGGTTAATGGGAGTTTCTTACATTCATCGAATATTCATCATATTACAGATGAGACAACTAATCCACACATACACATGGGAATCTCCTGTTTACCACATCCCAAGGGTGCTCTACTAGCCATGCTGTCTTGTTGTTTATCCCCAGTCCTGACCCTACTGTCTGAATGTTGGAGCAAAAATCGAGACTCAAATTTGTTTCCAATTTCCAAACAGTGGCACCCAGTTTGGTGGTCTGTTGCTCTTCTGCATACCTTGGTTGTAATTGTTTGTTTGGTTTGTTTCTTCCTATCAGCTTGAAACATCGTGGTCATCCTCTGAACTGCTGCTTATTGGATTTATTTTATTTATTTATTTTTTTCCCTGGCCTTTCTCTGTAAACCCTAAAAATTGTTGTCGGGGGAATATCGCAGCAGATCAGCAGCTTCAGAGATACTGACAAAACCAACAACCATGTCACATTCAAAGTCACCTTTCTTCTACATTCTGATTCTCAGTTTAAACTTCACCAGGCCTTCATGACCATATCTACATGCATGTCACGCCCATTGGATTGCTGCCATGTTGCAAAGCAGCTTGCAGTGTACATGCAACTGAAACAGTTTAAATAATATTTGTGAAAGAGAGTGAGCAGACCCATCAGTTTCACACCTTTTTCTTAAATTCGGTTATAAATGAAACGAGCGTGGAAGAATACACTCATAAACTGTAGCTTTAATAGATTTGTCCTTTGTAAGTAAGTAAATCTGCTTAAATGGATAAATAGTCCTCTTTTCAGCTAACAGTGGTTAGTATTTGTAAATAATTCAAAAGTTCATTTTTAGTAGGGTTTCTTGGCCAGCCTAAATCAACACTATATATCCTTGACTATTTTAATTTAGATCCAGTAGGGGAAACCAAATCATCCCCTTGTTGTATTGCTCTTACACTGGAACGTTAAACTTTATTCTGCACAGTAAAGCTGTCAGATAAATGTAAAACAGAAAAGTAAAGGCTGAAATGCTGTCACTCAAGCAGCAAAGCTGTAAGACCCCCCCGGTGGACCAAGATTGAAAAATGTCCCCATAGGGCCAGCAGGGAGCCCCCCCCCCCCAAAAAAAGCAAAAAACAACATAGGAAGCGAGTGACTGTGCATCTGGAGGCCTTGTAGGTCTCATAAACTGGCTGATGATTGCTCCCTTCCTGATTACCAGGGTGGACAGCGAAAACGGAGTCGATAATTGAATCAGAGAAATTTCTCCCCGAGCATCACAGATGGCTTATCTGATAAGGAGGTTTTTAGCTTGGCAGGGCAGGAAGCAGCCTTTCCGCATTCCAAGGTGGCAGAAAGTTTTCTTTTGGTCTTTGGTGCCCCTTCACATGGTGCCATACAGGGCAGCCTCCTGTCAGCAGACCTGCATGAACTGGTGTTGCTTTACCGAGCAGCGATGAAGAAAGCCGTTCCTCACTACTCCAGATGGGCAGAAAGACGATCCACCGTGGTTTATGGTAAGTAAAACTCTGGATTGCTCACATTCGATGTATTTGTTTGTTTGCCTTCCATATATTTCTTTGCTTTATAACGGCAGTAAATGGTCCGTAAAGGCCTCTAGATTAACTCGAGTGTCAGTAGCTCCTGTTTAGTCTCAGAAATGACAAGAAGATTAACAAATTAACTTTAGTTTATTGTAATTGCATGAATACTATGCATTTAAAAATTATTTATATAGAAGATTGTGTTCAGGTCTGAGATGTGTAGTCATTTCGCTGTTCAAAAGCATGTTATGATGCTGTGTCTCGGCCTTAAAGGACCTTTAATTTAACAGCTCTCTGGAAGTTCTTGGGAATCTTTGCTGTAAAATTGGCTGAGATTATCTTGGGAGATTATGGAAAGTTTGACAAACTTAGTCTACGTTTGTATACAGAGATTAAGATGTCAGATTTTACAGATTTAAACTTGAGCTTGAAGAATTTGAAACGGCACAAAAAAAAGTTATTTTCTTATCATTAAAAAAGGCTCGAGTAGGTGTTACTGAGCCAGGATGCTCAAACAGCTTCAGCTGCTACATAAATCTCATCATTACACATGTAAAGTTAGCATGTTAAATGTTAAAGTTCAGTGAGCTGCTGTCAAGCACGGTGGAGGATTGGTGATGATCTAAGGCTTGGTGTGCAGTCACAGAAGCTGGGCACCTTTCAGAACTGAAACAAAGTTGTAAAGAAGAAAAAACGGTGCGTAATCATTAACATATACACATTTGGTGATATAAATGTGACAGCCCATGACACATACAGCCTCGAAAATTTGCAGTGTATATAATATATTTATAGTGTTTTCAACTTTTTTTTCTTTGATTGTTTAAAACAAGCATTTAATGGCATTTTATTGTATTATGATCATTAAACCAGTTGAATGAACATAACCCTTTAAAGCCGAGTGAATCTTTTTGTGAGTTCTATTAAACTTCTACATAATCAGTGTGCATTTTTTCCCACCCAAAAGCTAAAATAAAACTGCACGATATATTTTGAAGAAATAAATTGAAAAAATGCCTGTATATATTCCTGTATAATGTATATATTTCTTTACAATCTGAGGGTTCTTAATGGCAGCCAATATAGTGAGTCTTAAGCTTTAGAATATTAAACTTATAAACTCATCAGAAATAATAAATATCATCCTGTTTACTTCTGTCATGCTCCAGCGGTTCGCTCAGCCACGTTCGGCTCCTGGAGGATGCTCACGATGGGGGCGGAGTACTTAGACACCTGGGCTCGGTCACCTGACAGGAGAGAATGTCCTGAGAAGCTGGTCAGAGAGGAGGAGGAGGAGGAGGAGGAGGAGCCGGGGCCGGGGCCATCAGATACTGGAGAGCAGGGGGAGTCCTCATGGATATCCGCTGACAAGGACCCAGAACAGAAGTACGAGACTGTTCTGCACCTGGACGGGATGAGCAGACGAGAAATGGGAGATGGTGTCCGGGAGGCCATAAAGAACCATGACAACCTGAAGAGCACCTCCACTAATCAGAGGTGAGACAGTTTGGGTGTGGCTGGTTGGAAATCATACTGTTGGTAGACTAATTCTGTCACCAAATCCTGTGCTCTGGATATTTTCCATTTTTTTTAAATTTTTATTTTAACAGCTTTTCCAGCACACAACTGCACAGACATCTGCTGACTCAATGTTCTAACTACAGCACAAGTGTCTGTAACTCTTATTGCAGTAAATCAGCTAAACCACCAGATGTCTCCTCAGTCATATCTAATGAGTTTGCATCCATGATCAGCATTTCACAGCAACTACTTTAACATGAACCGAATACTTTAGATACAAAAAAGGTAAGAAAAGTCTGAAGTTTTATGACTAATGGTGAAATGTTGTCTCATGTTCATGAATAAATGGCACCATGCAGTTTAGCTTTAAAATGAAGTGTACTCAGGCTGAAAAGGCAACACCTTCCTTTATAAAATCTGCGGCAAAGGTTAAATTTATGAAATAAGATAAGTTTATTTCTCCCCAAAGTTGTGAAATTCCTGTGTTACAGAAGCTAAAACATTAAATGTAGTCTATAAAACCTTAAATAATGTATAAAGGTAAAAAAAAAAAAAAGAAATAAAGAAATTACATAACTAAACAAATACTTAGATGAAGCAAAGGTAATACTAACATTAGAGCTCATTTACATAATGAAGAAAAACAAGAAAAAGATGCCCAGTAAGAAAATGAAAATCATGAAATCCATTAAAAATTCTATTTAAAGCGTTTTATAATACAAGAAACTTGCTTAACAAAGCGTAATATGTATATAAAAAATTAAATAAAGCAACATGAAAATGAATATAAAATGACACACTAAACAAATATGAGATCATACCAGAGTGTAAAGTGAGCAGGTCATGTAGATTTTGTTTGTTTGGCTAATGTGAATTATGTGGACACATGTTTTGTGTTCTAGTGTTGACATAATTTTGGTTTACACCCACTTTTTACGTTATTAGCACGTCTAATCAGCCAATCATGTGGCAGCAGCTCAAGAAGACTTCCTGAAGTTGAAACTGAAATATCAGAATGGGCAACAAAGGGGATTTCAGTGACTGAGCGTGATATGGTTGTTGGACTGAGTGTTTTAGAACCTGCTGATCTGATCTGCTGGGATTTTGCCGCACAACCATAGGATTTACAGAGAATGGTCTAAAAAAAGAGAAAATTTCCAGTGAGCGACAGTTCTCTGGGTTAAAATACAGAACTGCTACGTAGATGTCAGAGGAGAATGATTACACTGCTCCGAGAAGGTGGAAATGCTACAACCAATGTTTGCAGAAAAGCGTCTCCGAATGCATAACATGTGAAACCCTGCAGCAGAGAGACTAAAGAAGCAGAAAACCAGACCAGGTGCACTCCTGGCAGCTAAGAAGTGGAAACTAAAACCACATGGGCTCACCGTGATTGGATGGCAGAAGATTACAACAATGTTGCCTGGTGTGATGAGCTTCAATTTGTCCTGCAATGTTCAGATGATAGAACCAAAATCTGACATGAACAACATAAAAGCATACATCCATCCTGCCTTGTATCAGCAGACTGCCGGTGGTGTAATGCTGTGAGGGATATTTTCTTGGCACACTTTAGGGCTCATTAGTACCAACTGAACATAGCTTAAACACCACATGCTACCTGAAGGACAAACACAAAGAAAACTATAGAGAAACAAGCCGTTAACAATCATCTGTTTGCTTTAAAAAGACACCAGTACAACAATTCTTCTATGAATATTAATAGGAGGTGACTCACATGAAGCTGAAGTAATGACATGCAGTAAAACAGGAAACTGGATTCAGACTACTTCAATATTCAGACTCATTAATACTGTCGTAGAAAATGATGAATGAAAGAAAACATACTTACAGATATAAGTGGCAAAGCAGATTCAGTTTCCAAATCTAATTTGAAAAGCATAACCATCGTCTCCGGTAAGTGGCACACATAAAACGGCAATTAATGTTCATCTCTGCAGACTCCTGCCTGATTTATAGCGGTCTGAATCAAGGTAGCAACCACTTCCTATAACAACTAACTACCAGCAGCTCATTAAAATGATCACGCATGCAGAAAACGAAACGAAACAATACAAAACAATGGTGGAAGCATGAACATCTATAAAGCTCATCACATATGCAAGCCCAGCTAGAAGAATAGGAAACATTACCATGTGAAAAGCAAAAAGAGAGAGTGAGGAGACAACATCACGCGTGTGTCTGTGAGGATGTTTATACTTTAGTTGTGGCTCTTTGTTGTAGTGGTTAACACATCTGCCATGCATGTGAAATATCCCCATGCTCAGCTCTGGCAGGACACACCCAGCTTCAAAGGCGCATGAGCTAGCGTCTCGGTCCAAGCCCCGGAAAAATGGGAAAGCTGCATCAGGAAGGGGATCAAATCTGGCAACCCCCTAAAAATAATAAAGCACTTTAAAGCTTGTAGTTAAGTTTTAACTGACATCCAATGCCCCCACATTCTGTACACACATGCTGTGTGTAAATAATAAAGAAACAAAATTCTGAGCATGCGGTCAGGTTGAAAAAAGGCCCATCAAACATTTATGTAACTTAATGAAAGACGTTTGAGAGCGCATACCTCTGCCAAGGCCAGTGATTTATCTTGCAAGTGAATTAAAAACTCCTGAATGGAAACTCAGATCTGTATCCAACAGGCACATCCACAAAAACCTAAGCACCACATAGCTGAAGCACAGTTACTATGCTCCACCAATCTCTGAACTTAAACATTAACAGTCCTGTGAGTCTCTCTGCTCCATCTTAAAAGGTACTTTTTGTAATTACCCACTCTGCGGAATTTAATTCAAACCTTCAACAGCAGGGGGCAGCACTTTACCAGTTTGTATATTGAGATTTTTTCACTTTCCGTTCTTTTAACTTTATATATTTCTTTTTGGCCCTATCCCCGTTTTCTTAGGGGACTTCAAATTTTTAAATAAGAATGTTTTTACGGACTTATGTGGTTAAATAGAGTCACATATTGCTGTATAAAGGGGTCTTGCATAAAAGTCCAGTCTTAGTTTAATTTTAGTCGATAACTCTCCTGCTGGGGTCACCCGAGGGAAAACGGTCGCTGGAGATGGGGACCAGGTGTACGATCACTCACAGTTAGTTGCTGTCTTCAAAACAAATGTTAAACATCTGAGAGTGATTGCAATTGTTTGGAGACAGGTTTCCTCCCGTCAGGCGACACATGCAATCAAAATAATCTGATTAATTAATAATCTGATAGGCAACTACAGATTTTTAAAAATCTATTTATTTATTTTTACTGCTGTCGAATGACCGAGCCATTCGACAGCAGTACATTGATGTTTTGGATTCAAAGCTATTCTTTTGGTAGCTAAACAAATTTACAGTAAGTACCTTTGAAAATCAAATATAAGTCATAGTAAAAAATAAAGAAATAATTCAATATAAGCAAATAAGATGAAAGTACTTTAGATCAGGTTTAATGTGCTAGTTTAATTAATTTAGTTCATCAAGTGCAGACAGAAAAGGTTTCATAAAAATTGGATTTACAGATTTTACACAACGTTGCTGACAGACAAACAGGAACAAAAGCATAAAGAAAACAATTTAAAAAAAACAAACAAACAGGAAACTATCATATGCACAAATACACACTGTGTGGAGTAAAAATGTGCTTAAAAATAAAAGATGTCAGTTAGGTACAATAATGTTGCAAAGTTTCTGAAACGTTGAGTCTCCTGTGTTTCTGCAATAATTAAATAACTGATGGATTGAATGAATGAAAGAATGAACAAACTGTTTCTTTGGTCTTTTGTTTAACTGGATTATCTTTGTCTTCTTTTAGGAGATCTGATGTTGTTTTTGGATCTGAACTTCTAAAATGTTCACATCATTTTCAGCACCTCTGTAGATTCCGTTCATCTTAATTTAACATATATTCATCTTCTAGTGAATTCCTTTTTATTTATTTTTTGTTAGCTCTAACATGGTTACTCTAACCACGGTCTAAATGTGGATACTTGCGCAACCTGTTTTGCAGTGTGAGATGTTAAAGGTGGATCTTAGCCTCGTCTTTCATAAGCATTAATCTTCTCTCATTGGTGCCAAAAGGGAAATGTTCGAGCCTCAGGGCTTTTCTGAACTTCATTATAACCTGCCAGCAGACGGTGAGCGCGTCTGTGCGCTCCAGTCACTGATAGGCTCGTTCTGGTCACGTGCGCTCTTCCTTATTCCACCGAGGACTTGGTATAAAACCTACAGCCCCTCATGCAGGGAGCGACCAAACAGAAATCAGAGGACTAATACTCCTGCTGGATTTGCTTGTTTTATTGTTGCTGTCGGTTGGGGAAAAAGCCGCAAAAAAGGATTTTCTTTTTCCTCATGGTATTTTTTTTTTTGAGCGCCTGACATTTCAACTGGTGTTTGGAGACGATGCTGACAGGATTTGGGACTGAGGCAGGATGTTCTCATCTTATTTCAGCCTGATTTTTCTCCACTTTGAGCTGTAATGGATGCAACAGCCTTAACTGAGTGATTTACATCGGAAGTGCTTTGCGGCTCAAAAACTTTAACGTTTTAAATTTCGCTGAAGATGAATGAATGGAAAGGATCAAGAGAGCGTGGTTTTCAGTGAGGCCACCTTTTATCTGTTATTTCCCAAACGCGGCGCTTTCTCCTCACACTAACGCTGAGCAGTGGTTTGTATGAAGCGTGTTTGTTGTGATGCTTCTCCCCTCCATTTCCACTGACACCACTTTGGATTTCCCCTTTTGGATCTGTGCGTTTCCAGAATGGCTCGCTTCGCAGAAGATCTACCCACCCGCTATGGAGGAAGCGCAGGCGGCGGAGGGAGAGGTGGACCGGGCGCTGGGAGAGGAGGCGCCCGGGGTGGTGGCGCTCCGGGTGGGCAGAGGATGTACAAGCAGTCGATGGCCCAGAGAGCCCGGACGATGGCCATCTACAACCCGAACCCTGTCAAACAAAACTGCTTCACCGTCAACCGCTCCCTCTTCATCTTCCGCGAGGACAACCTCATCAGGAAGTATGCAAAGCGAATAACAGAGTGGCCATATCCTTCCTGACGCACAGAGCAGGTGCATCTGTAGCCTAGAGGCACAGTGGTTGAAAAGCAGAGCCACACAACCGCCTGCAGGCCTGTTTGCCAAGCTATTAAGTTTAGATGTGGATTATCTTCTCTAGTGTTGAATGTGCAGCTATTTACGCCCGTGGAGTAGCCGCTAACACACTGTCCCCTCTTTATCCCCCTCCGCGCAACGCTGGCTACACCTGTCGCCCCGCTTCTTATCTCCCTTCAACATGACACAAAGCTGTTCTCTGAACAGCAGCGGGCTGTGAAAAGACTTCACATCCGCCTATTGTGCTGCCTCTTTTATTACCCCCACCTTCCCGGCGCCCACATATATACCGAGAAGTTCTTTTATCAGTATGTCAGCTGTAAACTGCTCGCTGGGCACTGACAGCAGTGGTTAATCACGATCAAACATCTCTATTGATCCGCACAGCTACGAGTCAATGAAGAGATGCGTGCGTAAAAGGGGCGATGTGGCTTGTGCTTAACCGCCCTATCCCCGTGCTCTCCTACACTGTGTTGTGTTTGGGGGGGGGGGCAGTTTACTTTAAGTAGAAAACAGAGAGCGCTCGTCCAGGATAGCAGCACGCCTCGTTGTCTTAGTCGGGAGCCCTCTCCGTGGTGCTGAACTCGCCCACGCTCCCCACTCCACACCGTTTATTCCACACTGCAAAAAAAAAAGAAAGAAAGGAAAAAAAAGAAAAGAAAAAAAGTCCTCTTCGAGGAGTCGTGGTCACTTTTATAATCGCAGTTTGCTCTCTTAAAATTAGCGAAAGACTTGATCATCAGCAGCGTGTTTCTGAGTCTTTCATTCATTTATATATATAAAAAAAAATCAATAAAAAAAAATCTCAGGAAATAGTCTCATCTCCCCCGATTTTAAGACGCAGTTTCACTCCCCTCCTAAAGTAGGTTTGTAGCTGTGTTTTAATGATGTTAAACGTTAAAAACGTTTTAGAGAGTTACAGATGTAATAATAATAATAATAATAATAATAATGATAATAATAATAATGATAATCTCATTTTCACATTTTTTCATATATATAATGCAACATTAACCTTTAAAATGTAAAAAAAAAAAAAGCTAAACTGATATCTGCATGTAAACAACAGGCACGACTTTTGCTGCTGAGGGTTTAAATTCTATTTTCTGATCACATTCAGGCTTTATTTGTGTGAAGGGGGGAAAAAAGTACACCTGGGGAACAAAAAAAAAATCAGCCATCATCTGACGAAGATTCAGGTTTTAACTTGGTGGCTTGTTACTCCTGGTTGTCCCAGAAACAGCCAAAAAAATTTTTTTTTATATTTTAATGTCTCTTAAAGACTCCACTGTAGGTTATAAGCTCAGAGAGAGGTTATATATTTCTGTGTTGAAATTGTTTAGACTGGGAAGCCACAGGGCTTGTGTGATGAACATGACCAGACAGCTGGATCTGCTCTGTGGGCGACAATGAGGACAACATTAGCTCTAATCAAATAACAGCATTTATCAGTTTGTCCGTGCCCTCTATGGGCTGATATGAACCGGAACCTCTGATATTCCATATGGACAAGATAATAAAATAATCACCGCGTTCACGCTCATTCCTGAAATATTCAGGATATGTAAAGCAGCTCAGTATTTTTATCCATATCTTTGCTGTTACGATTATCAGCTTCCAATTCCCTTGTGATTCATGGACCCTCAATAGGCACTGACCCTCAGGGCAGTAACCGAGTGAAAATGAATGACAGAATGAAGTGGTCAACCATCTGGAAGGATCATGAGCACATGTATAGGATGCTTTCTTTCCACAAAAGGCCTTCAACCAGAGCTTGATGGAAAATTTATGCTTAGTTGGACAGAATGCATCTAAATTCAAGTTTAGCACAGGGGCATGCAGGATCATTCCTGTGCAACCGCCATGAATCTGCTTCCTTATTCCATTAGAATAGATGAGTTACAAAAATGTGATGTTTATTCATCAGTATAAAGTAGTTTATCAGTGCTAAGAAGGTTTGCAGACATACTGAAATGAAATACATGTGACATCATTTATAACTGCTCCTTAACTCTGCACACTCCATTTGAGTACATGATCTTGGCCACAATTATCGCCAACTGCATCGTCTTGGCCCTGGAGCAGCATCTACCTGCCGGTGACAAGACGCCCATGTCAGAGCGCCTGGTAAGTCCATCTCTTTAAGGTCGCATCCCTCACACGTTGATTTTCTGTCCCTTCCCCGGAGGTGCCAGATTTACAAAAATATTGGGCAACACTTTATTTTAAGTGCACACATTTACTAATTGCTAATTATTCGACACTTATTAATCTCCAGTTTACTGCTTATTGGTTTTACGTATTTATGCATGCTCAGTATGGGCCTTTCGTGGCACTACTACAATCCTTATTAACAAATATAAGTCCATTCTTGTGGTAAACATCAAAAGTGATTCCTTCACTTGTATTTGACACTTTAATAACCTCCTTCACACTTTCGAAATTCACCATGGCACACTACTACTGCAGTTAGCAGCTCCTCTTCTTATTGAGAGGCACAGTTTCCAGTCAGATTCAGTGAAAGAACAAATTCACTAAAAGTGGCAATATGTTAAATTGAGGAAAGTAACACCCACAGTGAGATAGTTCTGCAATCATGTGGAAAAAAAGAGAAATTAAATCACGAGTGAGAAACTCAGCAGTTCCCTGTAGCCTTAGGAGGAGCAGTGCAGGTTTGTGGAAACTGAGCTGTATCAGAAAACAGCGATAACCAATGTTTTCAAAATGCAACAGTTAGTCCTTGTTGAAAGACAGAGCAAGAGGGATTGGATTAGAAACAAATACATCAGGGGGACAGCTCGGGCTGAGCAGTTTGGAGAAGGAAGAGGGGCAAGGCTAAGATGGTTTGGATGTGCAGATGAGGGAGAGTGGAAATCAGAGGGTGTTGAAGATGGAGCTGCCAGGCAAGAGGAAAAGAAAAAGACCACAGACGAGGGTCACATATGTAGTGAAGGAGGACATGCGGAGGACAGAGGAGGCAAACGGCCTGCTGTGATGAACCCTAAAGTGAGCATCCCAGAAGGAAAGGCAGAAAAATGCTGAAATAATATATCCTACTGAACATCAAAAATGGTTATCAGGTGGTTATTGATTAAAACAAAGCTCTTCATTATGGTCTAATAAATGATCCTGCACAATAAGCTATCAATAAGAGTAAGCAACTAGTTAATTAGCATCTTTCCAAATATTGATCTGCACTTGCTTAATTACTTTTGTTTATTTGGTGTGTTTAGCTGTGACTGGTTGTTTTTCCACCCTTCTTCTTCTTCTTCCTCATCCTATCACAACTCCTGCTGCCATTCTCACATATGCAATTTAAACCAGCATTTGAACTCTGACGGTCACGTCGCACTGCTGACCAGTCAAAAGAGACACGAGAAACAAAAGAGACTGCTGCACAGCGAGGTCAAGTGCGATATATGCCGGGGACAGAAATTGTGCATGCAAAGCTGCATGTTCCAGCACTTTGTTCCTCTTGAGTTTGAGGGTGCTGTGGCCGAAGGGGAATTTAGCCTTAAAAATAGCAAGGCAAACAGCGCTACGAAAAGCAACAGCTTGATGTGGAAAAAGTCAAAGAATTCCTCACATATTCATCCACCTTGCTGCTGTTGATGGTCGTGATGCTAATTCAGCAGCGAAGACGCGCACGAGGAAGTGATTAGAGTGGTTACACAAAGAAGGAAAACAAGCATCCTCTCGCTGCCTCCTCCACCTCGAGGATGTAATGCAACAAGATGCCTTTTAATTAGAACAAGGGATCAGGTTTTTCTTTTGTTGTTGTTTATGAAGCTCTGTCAATAGACCAGCAGGCATGCTGTAAGTGGAAGTGATGATAGAAGCTATTCAGTGAGAGTACATCACATCCATTGCAGGGCTTTAATGCCATGATCCGCGGAGGATTCTTTAGCTGTTTTCAGAAGGCTTTTCTTTATGATTCCCAAAATTCCTCCTGCTATGTATGTAAAGATTTCAATTTCTTTATGTATGATTATTGTCCTTTTATAGGGCACTGGAATTATTATAATTAATAGCCTAGAAGCCACTAATTTGTTCCTCAATTATAAAAAAACCCAACCCATTCTTGTTCCACCACCTCAGTAACTCTCATCCAACATATCTATATCATGTGCTCCCTGTACTCACTCAGGGGGTATAGAAAAGGTCACCCTTCTTATAGTGCACGGGCCTGTCACACTGCTTTTATGTGATTATTTACGTTGGAGGCTGGGTGAGGCTGGGGGTTGGGGGCACTGTCTGTCAGCTTGTAGCATGCTGGGAGCAAGAGAGAGAGATACAAAAAATGGAGGGGGGAGAGAAGGCAAAGTGTAGGCGTGAGATATCCTCTGCTCGTGCCCTGTGCGTCGCTTCAGGCTCTCTGAGATATTAATGGGGAGGCAAAGGCAAAGAGTGTCCTGCCACACAGGCCAGAGCTAGCTCCTTTACTTGCAGCACATCCTAGGGTTAGCTCAACCACGTAGTGCAAATTATTCCACTGTGACCCAGAGCTGCTTGTTTGACATGGTTCGAGTGTAGTGCAGTGCTCACATAAACTGCCCAGTCATACGTGTTGCCATGTGAGTGCAAACATTTGGCCCGTGTCGGAGCACGTTCTCATCCCAGGCGTCCCTTACAGCCATTGTGCAGCAGCAGCGTTAGATGCCAGGAGATAATCGCCGTCTCCTAAAGTTCAGTGCTCAGTGTGTGTCCTGTTTGGGAACTTTGTGCTTCCCAGTTTGATTTGCTTTGTTTTCACTGATTCGTTGTTGCTGATTCGTTTCCTTTTCCTTCACTTTGTACTTACACTTATTTTGTGAAAGTAGAAGGCTAAACTGCGTGGTGAGGTTTAGGAAAAAGTCATAGTGTTGTGACTTATACAGCCTGCTTTCATCTTAAGAGGGCCGGACCAGTGAAACGGCCCTTTCTGTTCATCTAAAGGAGTTTAACAGTTCACGGTGTCGTAGCATTTAATCCCTGAGATATCTTATGAGAAAAAGGAAGTCCAATGTCAACATTACCTCTTTTCACATGACATTGACATGCTGCCGTATGAAAGAAAGAAATCTTTCAGCATTTCTAGCAAGCTGGTCTTATGTTCGACACCCCTAGTTTAGGTTAATAATACACAGCATTAATGAAGCATGCTGAAAAATGAAGTGCATTTACGTGTGACATTAAGCTGCTATTTACAAACATGTATAATTGACCAGCTGGATGTGAAACCAGTGTGACTATGGTTATAACCCAGCACGTCATGACCTCGTGTCTGAGAGATTCCAGCAGCTGTGACAGAATGGCAGCATTTGACACCCAGGAAATAAGAATGGGCTGTCACGCCACAGGGCCTCTTAAATGCCTTTCCATGTGCTCCAATGTGTTCTGACCACTGGCCCTATTTGTTGGTCCAACTGACTTTTTGGCCCTGCTATCTCCAATTATTGTAATTGCTCCTGCCTACCAGTGCGATGCTTCATTTTTGTGTTCCTGTTGTTGCTCTAAGCACCAGTTTGACTGTCCAAATGCTCCAGTTTTTGGCACTTCTAGCTGACACCTTAAAAACCTGGTTGGTTGCTTATATTTTCCCATGACACATGAGCAGGGCATTTGAACAGTCCAACCTCTTTTCTGGTTGGGTCAAGTTCTTCCCTGGAAGTTTCTAATGCTATGCTTGTGCCCAACTAACCTTCAACGACTGTCTATAAAAGACTCACGTAACTTAAAAGTCTTTAATCTGAGGTCTTATACCTGAATTTTTTCTCATGGTTAGCAGGGGGCAGCTCTGTAGATATCTATGGAAAAATGGCTCAGCTGCTCATTTCATGATCCATGATCTCAGTAAACACCTTTCTGATGTGGTTGTTGCTTCAATAGCTGGTTGTAAGACTTAGTTAACATATCAGGATGTTTCTTTTTGTAAATGTTCATCACAATAAGAGTAGAGACAAAGAACAAGGCTGTGCTTTCTAGCAGCTTCATAAGTCACAAGTAAAAACTGTATGAGAGTTTCTCAGCGAGATCCATCCATCTCTTATGTCTGGCTCCAAATCACCATGCAAACCATTCAATGACATTATAGTGGCTACATCCATCTTTTATATACAGTCTGTGGTTAGGATCCTAAGAAGGTGCCTTTCATTTGCCTTGTATTTTACACAATAAGGGCAAATAAAGCACTCAGACTCCTTTCAGTTGGATCTGATTCTTTATTAGGAACCTCAAATGCTACACGAGTACTTTAAGTGACCTTCTGGTCAGTCCCCACCTCACCTTTTCCTCTTTCTGCCCATCTACCAACATAATCGCAGCAAGATTTCCCTTCCCTATTTTTCTCTTATGTCATACAAGAAATGGCCAAGTGCCTTTGTTGTTGCTGCCCTATCAGGCTAAGTACCTCAAATGCCTCTCTGGTCAGCCTAAGTGGCCATTTCTTAGTGCCAGATACTCTACCTGACCTCTAGTTTTGGTTTTGTTACCTCACTGGTGAGACAGAAAGGCCCTCTATTCCATTTAAAGTGCCCTGTTGCATGGCCTCAGCAGAGGTTGCCCTTTTTTTGGAGTCACGCAGCACTGATGATATTTAATGTGACATTTTAACAGAACACACAGCTTGTTTAATTTTTTGTTTGCACATGTAGTTGTCTGCATTCACTTGAAGCTACATTTTTTTGTTTGAATGCATTAAATGTGCACGCCTGGGGCGCCATTAATTTACAATACCCCCATACGATCATCCTGCGTTTGTGGATATTTGTTTTCCCAGTATTTACTGTCTTTTCATCCAAAAGAGAGCTTCAATTCCTGCATTTCTGCTCATGCCGGCATAAAAAGTGAAAGAAGTTTTTTCCCTGTCTTTTATTCACCCCCTGCTCTTTGACTTAATGCTTCAGTAAACACTCTCCTACCTCCAACAAAAAGATATTCTTCTGCTGGTCTCATCCCCTCTCTGATTCTCTCTGTCTTTCTGCAGGACGACACAGAGCCCTACTTTATTGGAATATTCTGTTTTGAGGCCGCCATTAAGATCATCGCCCTGGGCTTCGCATTTCACAAAGGCTCCTACCTCCGCAATGGCTGGAATGTAATGGACTTCGTGGTCGTCCTCACGGGGTGAGTCCCTCGCCCGCTGGGTGTCAGCTGCAGATGGAAACATTGCAGTAAGAGTGGTTTCTTTTGTGCATATCTGTGAGCACCCTGAGAGGGAGTGTAGTGGAATCACCTCCTTCCAGTTAGATCATGTGCCCACAAGCATGTCTGTTATTCAACGAGTAACCCGAGCCTGTGAAAGAAGTGAAAGGAGTGCGATGTGAGCATTTGCTGGTTTTAGCCTTTGTCCTTGAGTTCAACACTGTTCCTGGGCAACACCATACAGACGCCATGTCCTCGCAGAGCGGCTTCCATCTTTGTTTCTAACAATTTGAGGTTGCCTTCTTTTGATGCGGGGCTGACATACCACCTTAGGCTGTACAATATTCAATATTCTGCATGTTTCACATTTTATATAAGTTTCAGATGTAATTGCATGTCTGCACTGGAAGTTGTTAGCTAAGTGGGGCGCAGTGAGCTCTGTGACACATGCTTTCATTGTTGAAAGCTTTTCTTCCTCTTTTGAGCAGCTCTTGGTGGCTTCTCGGCAGGGAAGCCATTGAGGCTCTAGGCCTTTGCAGGGATGTAATAGCCTGTGTTTCTTATCATCAGAGGGGAGCCATGAAGAGTCAGTGACAGGGAACACGGTCAAGCCAATAGTACTGAGTAGTTACTGCTAGGATTTCAAAGCTTAGGGCAGTACAGTACTCCCTTTTGATGATGTAAGAAGTCCTTACAGTGTAATACAGGAAGAGGGTGTAAGGATATTAATACGTTTCTAAGTTGGTGTTGTTTTTACTGTGGTCAGATACAAGAGTTTAGTCTTCAGGTTTACATGTCACAGTCATTACCTCTATTTCTTCAAAAGACATGAATCATAAAGTCCTTCTGAGCTGCTTACACATGGAAACCACCTTTAATATGTCAAAGCTAGTCTTTAAGGGTGAAATGTTGTCTTTATGGGACAAAGAGTCTGTCTTATACAGTATATATAAAGTAAAATATACAGTATTTATGTGTTTTTGGGTTTTTTTGTGAGTGTTTCTTGGGGCGGGGGCATTGTTATAATAAGGCAGATTAGTGTGATCAGTGTTGGGCAAGTTACTTTGAAAAAGTAATTAATTATAGTTACTAGTCACTTCTTCAGAGAAGTAACTGAGTTACAATATTCTAAAAGTAATTAATTACTAGGAAAAGTAACTATTGCGTTACGTTAAAAAAAAAATGTTTAACCCTCTGGGGTCCAGGGTATAATTGGCCATTTTACTACTTTTGAGTTCCCCTCTACATTTCAGCTTTAAAAACTATTTACTTTGCCTTGTTCGTCCTTTTCAGCACAACCTCACGTGTCTGAATTTACAGTTATGTTTTCATTTTGACATAGTGCATTAACACAACTGATCTAAAATCAGACAGAAAACATAAAATCTGAGTAAAAAAAAGTTATATTTTTACTGTAACAACCACAAACATGTTTAATGAATCATACTTCATAACTTTAAATGCAAATATAAATTGTCAATTTTAAAATCATACGTATAAGTTTTGCAAACAACAAAGTTATTTGCAGCCATTTACCTTTTACCCTTTTTAATAACCATTTCAAACTATTTGTATAACAATCAGCTGTTCTGCATCAATCAGCTGTTCTGCATCAATAAGATGCCAGAAATTATTTGTGCCACTCCAAAAAATTAATTTCTGTTCACTATAAAGGAGAACATCACAGCCTGACAGCAGCAGGTGTGTCACTCCTGTTTCTACCTGGAGACAGCAGTCGCCTCATTGTTCTGACACACAACACAAAACTATCCACAACACTACACTAACTACACAAGACAACACATTAACTACACACTACAAACATGCTAAACCTAACAAATATCTCACATCTCAATCATCACTTCTAAAACTTCCTAAACAACCAAATGTCATGTTGCCATATCATTTTTTGATTGGTCGACATGGTGCATTTCTCCACCAACACGAAAGGGCGTTTTTTTTTTGTTTTGTTTTTTTGTTTTTTTGTTTTTTTGCTCATAAGCAGAGAGTGCTCGCTGCGCTGTCCTTAGACAGTAAACGTGACGAAACTATTCAGGAAAAAATGCTGTGTATATATTGTTTATCTTGACTCTGGTTTTACGTGGCCTATCAACACAATTTAAAAACTATATCACCTTGTTGCTTTGTCATCTTGAAGTGGTCATGTGATTGAATTACCACGACTACTATATTCTTCCTCAGTCAAACAGCAGCACTCGTGCGATTGTTTTGCCCCCTTAGCTCCAGGTGTTGTGCCAAAAAGTGATCGTCTGCAAGAAAGTGATTGCCACCCATGGGACCGCGCGCAGCTGCTCAAAGCTGTAGCGTCCAGATTACTTACAGCTACTTCCGTGCAACTGATACTGTAAACTGAAGACAGCTTCAACCGTCTGTTTGTTGAAAAATAGTAACGGGACCCCACCACATTTTCTTGTTAGTAACGGTAACGGCGTTGTAACAATAGGAATAGTAATTAGTTAGATTACTCGTTACTGAAAAAAAGTAACGCCGTTGCTTGTAACGCCATTATTCCCATCACTGAGTGTGAATAATGCAAAGCTGCTCAAACAGAGTTCATGAGTAAAATGTGTTTTGGAGCTGGAAATGAACAGAACAGATCGACTTGAATTAATGTCCTAACCAACTTCCTGTTTATAGAGCACAATAAAAACCCACAAACTGGCACAATGTAAACAATCGTGTGCCTTGTGGTTAGAGCCACTCAGTGCCAGAACATTTAGTGTTTTTATGAAACACATTTTAAAAAGTTTAACATTTTGCTGTAATTATTCCACCTGAAAGCGAGTAGGACACAATCTTTCATTAGGGGATTTGGTAATGCAGTAAGAAGTGTATTTCTACCATAAGGACACAGATATTTATCCAAACACTGGAGTCCTCTGAGATAACATTGTTATGGTCCTGGCTCTGTTACCCAGTGATTTAGAGGTTGTTTGTTTTTGGTAAATGTATATAAATCTGTTATTCTTGGTTTTCCTTGAGTTTATATTCATGTATCTTTTTGCTTAGTGCATTAATTCTGTTCTGTCCCTGTTGTGTCAAGTCTCCTTCAGTTTGGTTTCCTGTTTTCCTGGTAGTCCTTGTCCCATGTGTTTAGTGTACTGTTTTACTTTCCCCAGTCTTGTTTTAATCTGAGTTTCAGGTGTGTTCCCACTCCCACATTTGGACCTGTTTCCATACTTCATTAGCCTGTATTCCCCAGTGTAGATTGCTCCTTGTTTCCAGTGTTCCCCTTGAGACTTTTGTTTCAACGACTGGTCTGGTAATGAACAGCTCACTTTAAGTTCACCTGTACCTGCCTCTATGCATCTGCACTTGTGTCCTCAACTCAACATGAAATCATAGCCTAACAAACATGTTACCCAGAGCTTGGAAAACCCCATCAATGTTGATATTGAAATGCATATGAAAGATAGATGTAGCCACTGTGACTCCACCCATTGTTCTGTAAAGTGCCCATCAGTTTTTTTTAGCATTGTCGCCATTGCAAGCCAGAACTGACTGTGTTAGGATGTTACAGTGGAGTTTTAGGGTCATGGATTGCAAACCTGGAAAGACTCAGATGTCAGTAATGTACAGATAAAATATAAGAAGGTGAACTATGAAAATAGGAGCACAGATTTCTTTGATGGGCTTTTAAGTACAAATCACACAACAAGCCTTTTTTTGCCAGGTAAAGACAATGGAAATGCTCTCAAATGCATACATTTAAGACAAAATGCAATTTAAAAGGCAGATTTATGGAAAAACTGAATACACACGTTTGTCATGAAGGTGTAAATGAGTTGTGAATGTTGTAAACAAGTTGGACATTTTAATATGGAAACTGTGGGGAATGACTCACTTCTGGAACCAGCCTCATGTGGCCATTGGAGAAATTGCAGTTTTTCAAATATGATATTGATCCATGTTGACTGGGTTACTAGTGACTCCCAGGAGGGAACAAATATTTGATTTTTGTCAGGTTAGAGTATCAATACAATGTCCCCAACCAGCAGTCATACAATATTAGAAACGTGCTGATAAATGCCTGTTTTGCTTTAATAAATGCATGCCCAGAGAGATAATGTCCGGCATTCGTACTCTATGAGCTTTTGATTGGACTCCGGTGATAGCTAATGGCTTTTTCAAAATGTCAATAAAGGGAATAAATTGAGCTGGATTTTAAATGGAAACCAGAACAGGGCTGTAAGTGTTGACAGGTGACAATAAAAACACAACAGCTGGAATCAATGCAGGTAAGGGAGGCTCAAATGACAGATTTGGTTCATGCGTCTCAGAACAGTTATTCTTTTTCAGTCGTGTCATGCCATAAAGAGCACATTTCAGACCTTCTTTTGCCTTCACTTGGCATAGAATCAGGAAAATAGTTAGAATCTATGATTACATTTATTCTCTCCCTGCTGTACTTGTTGAGGCAAAGAGTTTCTGTTAGAAGATCAGAGCATACAGAGGCATGTCGACTGACATCTTCTTCTGTTTTTTTAGCAGGTCTCAGTGTCATTGGCCACAATATTTAATAATCAGAGTCTCTCAGACTCAGAGCACAACATGTGTTTTTAAAGGTATCCTGCGGTGTAGTTTAAAGTTACTTTCATTGCTATTTATTAATTATTGACATTTGCAAACCTGTTATGATTGACGCTGAAGAACTGTCTGGTCATCTGGTCATTTTTCACCTGGGAAACATAATTTCCAACCTACAGTGTAAGATAGTTCAGGTGGTTATAACCTGTCCTCAGACTGATCTTATGTGTCCTTTTGTATGTTTTTGTTTGTTTGTTTTTTAAGTTCTAAATAGTATAGGGAAATGAGTGATGCTCAAGACTGTTGAAAAGTACTGCATGTTAGCCATGGTTGACTGTAAAACATTACAATGTTCTGGGACACTAGCTTTAACTTCAGAGACAGTTGATGGGATCCTTAACTATCTGCATCTGAAAATGGCAGTGGTGATCACA